CTGTGGAAAGTGAAACCCAGGAGAAATTGAAGAAAAGATCAGAATAAAAGAGAGACAGGAGGAATAATCTTGCATTTCATGCGGCTGCCATTTTTCCCCCCAAGAACATGGAATCTTCCACATTTCCTAACATGAGCAGGTTATCATAATTTTTCTTTTTATTAATTAGGTGAAACAAGCAAAAAAGCAAAAACAAAAAAGGAAAAGAATGCATATACATACACAACATAAACTTTACACTAGAGTGAAGGCTGAAATGAAAATATTTTAAAAAGATTTTTTAAAGTTTTTTCAAAAGCCAAAACAAACATAAAGAAAAACATTGTAAGAAAAAACATTGATGGGATCAGTTATCCTTAACTTACAGATATGCCTGCCTTGATCGGTAGCATTGATTCAGCTCCCTTCAGGAGTATGCCACTTGCATGGCACCTTCCCCTGGCATGCTGGGTACTGCAGGGTTGGATTCATGAATGGCACTAAACCATGATGTGATTTGTTCACTTTGGGGCTTAAAGTAATGTTGGAACCGAGTCTATGGCTTCTGCTGAGATCTTAACATTGCATAAGAGAGGCTCACCTCTTAGAAAACAAGCAGAGGACCGTACTGTAAATGTTTCTTTTGCTAAGTACCAGTCTTTGGAAACCCTGACTGAAACTAGACATGCCATCTTGTTCGCTGGGACAGATCTACCCAAGAAAACTGAACGAGAGTATCAGTGCATTCCTATGCATGTTTTCTCGGAAGTAACAGCCGCTGTTCTCCAGGTTTTTCTCTGTGGCTAGAGAGGCAGTCTTAAGATTTTAAAAAAAAGATATGAACAAGTTGCAGCATAAACTTTATTAAACAATAATTCTTAGAACGATATAAGAAAGTGGGAATGAAATATAATTTCTCATGTGTTTTACAAACTGGCTTTAATTTATTTGCTTTTCATTTTCATTCTGATGGTGCAGCAGAGCTACGCCTTCTTAATCTTTCATATCCCTGACATTTACACAATCACCTTGGTATTTCTGCAGCCAGAATATTACATGTCTACAAAGAGAGCTAAGCAAAGATAACAAATTGTCCTGACTCAAAAAAAGATAGAAGCACTTCTGGCTAACCTTCTTGTGTGCTTTATTCCAGTTCTACATAATATATAGAATTTGACTTTTAGACTTTTGCAGAGTTTGGACAGTATAGAGAAGAAGTGAAATTACATTGTAGGCTTTATTCACTGCACTCTACTTTCTCCCTGACTAAACATAATTCTGTAACAAAAGTGCCTTTAACACTATGGAGCAAACATGCATTTCCTTTCTCATTTTTCTACTTGGTTCAGAAAAAGCGGTCAGTGATGAAATAGGCAAAAACTGAAACAGTATGGCAACTCCTTGAATTCCTAAAATTAGTGCCTAGGAAGACATACTAAAGTTACAAAAGCAAGTGGAACTATTGACACATCCATGTATGTATGTTCTGAGCATTCAAAAAAGTTTGTGTATTCTTAACTCCTTTACTTTTACAGCTCTTTTCCTTGTTCACGTTAAAGAAGTTTTTCAAAATATCATTGATGCTCCTCAGTATTTTTCACTAAACTTCCACAAGCTAAAGCCAAATTGGGTGGAGTGCTACTAGCAGAAGTCTAGCCATGCTTCAGTAATTTATTTTTTCACTTTTAGAAATGCCAATATGTTCATTGTCCAATGCAGCCTCCTCAAAAGGGGAACCTTCCTGGTGTGTTGAAGTTGGAGGCCATGATGACTGGGGAATCTAGTCCCAGTGTATCTGAAAGGTGGTAGATTGGTGAAGCTCATCTAAGTCAATAGCTCTTAATCTGTTCTTTGGCACTTCTAGTGGTCTGCAAGGGTATTGCAGGTGGTCCCTGTGATGGGCATCAAAATAAAATACATTATAAGTGGCCAAAATTGTGCAAGATTGCCAATTCTCACAAGATTTCTTGAAGTCTCATATAATTTTGTCATTTTTTTAACCCCAACTCTTGGAAGATTTCGAGCAAGAACACTAAACTTTGGTGACTGCACAAAGTGTTAGCTATTTCTTTTTTTAAAATTAAAATCATTGTTATTTAATACTGGGGACTAATGGATGCTTTGTGGAGAAGGCATAAATCCATGGTGCCCACAAGCACCAGGTTGCTGACCTATGGCTTGGGTTTCTCAAAGACTTTTGATGAGGATGAAATGTAGCCTTTTGTATAAAGCGAAATGTTGGGAAAGTAGTCAACACCCTACTTAACAAAGAACCTGAATTGTTTTTCATGAAATATGGGGCTCAGCAAATTGTAATGAGTATCCTGCACTGGTAAATTGGAACATGGCAAATATTAGCCATATTTTATTATATGCCAAAGATTAGGTCCACAAACTACTCTTGAGAGGGTGGAAGATTCATTAGATAAGTTGAATATTTTTCAATATATTAATTGTGCATATAATGCATGTCTGTTAGTTGTTATACATAGTTTTATATATTTTCTTAAAGGAAACTGCATGTTCTTAACAATAAGATCACATCATTTTTTTTTACCTAAGAAGATACTACACTTCAACTAGAACCATTATTTTGATTGCTGTATAAAATGTGGATATTATTGTGACAGTATTTAGATGCTTCCATTACAGAATTTTTGTAAAAATATGCATATATACTTTTAGACATGGTAACTTCTACTATATTATAGCAGATGGAACCACCTTAATGGGGCTCATCAGTGGGATAATCAGAACCCATATACTTGTCGTTAGAGGAAGGCTTTTCAGGGTAAAGAATGATCTCTAGAAGTGCCTGAGTGTCTAGTAATTCTCTTGAGTACATAGCAATCATCATCATCTACTCCAGTTGACTTGCTCTTGTAAAGAGTTGATCATCCAGAGAATGCACTTTAAGTTAAGAAAAAAAGAATCTGCTCTGAAAGCTCTAGAAATTTTTGTATAGGAGCATAAGCAAGCCCAGCTGGCTCAGGTTCAAGGCCCTTCTAGTCCAATATCTCATTTTGCAAAATGAATAAGATTGTGCTTCAAAGTTCACAAGCAGGTCATAGAGGCACTCAGTGGTATACTGCATTTGTACCTGGATGTTCTACTGAATAGCCATCTTATTGATATATTGTATTCCATTAGTATTTAGTCAATATTTAAAAATCACATTAGTCAATGTTTTGCACTACAACCTATGAAAGTAAAACCTGTTACACATAAATCCATACGTCGTACGTTACTTAAAGAATTTTTGACTGTGCTGAATTAAAGACCAATCAATGCCATTGGCTGACCTCAAGGGCCATGATTGGGGGGTGGGGGTGGGAGGGACAATCAACTCCATCCACTTTTTTTAAATACCATGCATGCTTTTATTCCTAGTTACCATGCAGAGGTGCCCACAGAATCTGACGGTTTCATCAGAATGACCAAACAACTCTCACAAAGTCACAACACAAGCTCCACCCGTTCCATACATGCATGTACACAATATGTAAAAAATGGCAGTTTGCATCATCACATTGGGACACTCATTTCATCTTTTGCCCTCCTCTCCCCTTAGATCCCTATGCTATTATGCCCCTTCCTTGGTTTGCCCCCCAAACATCTGCAATTTATTTAAAATTGTCTAACGACTGACAAGATGGAGTATAGAGAGATTTTGAAAAGCACGGAGAATAGCTTTCCATTCAAAACATGAGTTTTCTTATTATTGGCATTGGGGGGGGGGATGCATCTCTTTAGGATTTGTCCAAATTGTTTCAAGGTACAAATCAGAAAGTAAAGCTTGCTTCTGACAGTTTTCAGCCAATGCAGTAACAAAAGCAAGTAGGCTGCTCTACACACACACACACACACACACACACACCTGTATCTGTGTACTAATGAGAAAATTCTTTCTACAATTGTTTAACTCACGCCTATGATCACACCTTGAAATCAACCCCCCCTATTTTCGGGGGGGGTGTTGTTTTTGTTTTTGCAAAAGCAAAGGACAAAAAAGATATGCTCAACTTTCCAACCCTCCCCCAAAACAACTTTCTGACCCTCCCAAAATCATCCAACTTGCTCCCAAATGATATCACCACCACAGTGCCCCCTTGGGGTCAGAAAGACAATTGAAAATAAACATGTAGCTCACGGCCACAAAAAAATTGCAGCTCCCTAACCCCATATCAATCACTACAGATAGACTGGCTCCATTACCCACACCCAAATGCATTGCTACAGATAGGACCACTGAGGCTCTCTTCTTTCCAAAAGTGTCCAATCAAAGCAAAAAAAAAAAAGTGGCAATACTTCAAAAACTTGACCATTGAAAGCTCCTTATCTCACATTTGCAAGGATTCCCCAAGAGGAAAATGTAACAGCACAAAATTAGCTCACGGCCACAAAAAAATTGCAGCTCCCTAACCCCATATCAATCACTACAGATAGACTGGCTCCATTACCCACACCCAAATGCATTGCTACAGATAGGACCACTGAGGCTCTCTTCTTTCCAAAAGTGTCCAATCAAAGCAAAAAAAAAAAAGTGGCAATACTTCAAAAACTTGACCATTGAAAGCTCCTTATCTCACATTTGCAAGGATTCCCCAAGAGGAAAATGTAACAGCACAAAATTAAAACAGTCCAGACAGGGGCAAGCATTCCTCCTAGTGAACCCTTTCCAGTCTTGGAAAAATTTAATCCAAACAACTGAATTTTATTTTCATATCATATGGCAAATTAGATCTAGGCTTCATCAGGCTTGACATTAACCCATCAAGATAAATATGACTAAGGCATAGCTAAATTAAGTCTGACTGATTTCAAGGGGTCTGAGTGTGACATAGCCCAAATATATGCTAATAATCATAAGACTATTTTTTATGACCAAGTCTCATATTTGAGGCCATAGTTTAAACATACTTCCTAAGGAACAACGCTAACGCACTACTCAGAAACAAATGACATTAACTGCAAGGAGACTTATTCTCAAACAAGTTATCAGAACTGCAGCCTTAGTTTAAATAAATCTACTTTTGAGAGCACATATTTAACATACCTAAGGAAGAGATTGCTGCAAAATCTGGGAATGGGTCCTCACATAATCCATATTCTGCAACTGCTCAACTCTCTGACTTACATGTCTACTCACCACAAAATTTGTTATTATACAAAGATCAGACCTCATGGTACTGTTGAGTGAATTAACTTTCTTTTAGGTTTTTCCCCAGCTAACAGGGTGATAACTGCATCTTTGTCATCAATGTTCTTTGACTTGTGAGAATGGCATTTTCAAAGTGTACCAAGGAGACTGCATTTTTGTGTAGCGGTGTTCACATACTCCAAGAGGACTGCTAATTATATAAAAAGGAAAATTCACAGACAACGCCCCTGCAATTCTATGCTGATGTAAGCATCAGTGAACCTGTCATCAGCACTGGATGCACTGACACACTGTCCTTTAGTAAGTCACAGAAAGGCAAACTGGCTAAAGTTAACCCAACAGCCCTTGTAGAATCCAGTGAAAATGTGGCCAGAAAAGCATATCCCCTCAAAATCTGGTAATGCTGAGCCTTGGTATATTCCATGTATATCAGCCACATGCAATGTCATACTGCAGGGAAAAATCACAAAACTAGTGCTAAATGGCCCCTTCAAAGCTGATTCTGATTTCAATTTTTAGTATATTTATGTTTCAGAAATCAAGAAAGTGAGATAAGCCAGAGTTTGCATTCTGAAATATAATGATTTGTTAGTAAAAAGGCACAAACATGTATACATGGTTATATCCAGCAAAAGCCTTCTACAGATAGAAGCATCTCCTTTTGGTGGGAATAGTTTGATCCAGCAGAGAATTTCTGCTGGCTGAAGAGGTGAGCTGATCTTCACTGATTCTATCTCCCCAGCTGGTCCCAAATCTGCTCCTACGTTTAATGGAGCCTCGGCAGTAGTGAAGGCCGTGTAACTGGGGCCTGTAGAAATTGCTATCTATCCACTATTGTCTTCTGCTATCAAGAGCATTTTGAATAGGGGTACTCTGGTGGAGTATCCCTCTGCTTAGGGACAATTCATCAATGAAATAAATGCTATGATCCAACCCATCTGTTTAAAATCAAGAAGACATTAAAATTAATTTCTATTTTTTGGAAGTTTTCTCTGCATGTAACCTTCAATATATTGGGACAGAAAAAGGGCAAATACCATTCTCTATTAGTTCCAGTTATCTTCTAAGCAATTTCTTAAAAGAGGCAGCTATATCAAGGCAGGTTTATCCAAAGAATTAGATGTCATTCAATTCAGTTAGAGCAGATGCATGTGTTTTATTCAATGCCAGCCCTTCCCCTTTCTAGTCCAGCCATGTCTATCCTGATGGGCAGCAGCTCTCCAGGGTAAAAGGCAGAAAACTTTCTTGGGCAGAACATGCCACACATGGGACCTGAGACATCATACATGGTGAAGCACATTTTCTCTTTCAGGCATATGGATGTTCCCCAATTTTTAGTTAGTATAATGATTCAGCATCATTTCTCACATCCATAGGGTGACTTTGCATGATCAAATTTCCCTTCTTAAAAATAAGAGTCAACTGCCATCAAAAAGTGAGACTTAAAATTAAGACACAATCTATAAAATAACACCTTGGAGTACAAGTGAGTTGTGCAATATTAACTTGTGCTTCCTATTTTTTCCCCATTCCTTTCCCCATCAGGATTAAAAATTTGTCAGACTCCTTCCCATATAAATAGTATCACAAATCACTTCAGTCTTGGCTCTGAGAGTAAATGCTACCTTGCTTCTTTCTTGAAAAAGTTTGCATCTTTCTTACGGTCTTATATTTAAGATGGGTGACATAAAATTCCCAAGGTATGAATGAAATCTTGAGGTATGCTGACAGCCTCTGAATATGTCTTAAATCCAAAACTAGATTTGTGTTGTGTTAGCTTTTATGGGTTTAAAAAAAGACATCGTCAATCCCAATGGTGTTTTCACTTAAGCCACAATACAGTACATTATGGCGCATCTTCATAACAGAACTGAGGACATAAGATAGGACTTCTATTTATAGAGCTCTGATGCCACTTCCAGAAAAATAGAGAATAAGTGGGGAAAACATTCCTGAAAGTCCTGAATTTTAAAATATTTTCTCTTCAGCAAAAAGGTTGGTCCTTCAGAAAGCAAATTTTACCTGCCTCATAAGGATATGTGACCACTGATGACACCAGAGAAAATATGGAATGTATGTTTTCTTCTTCCAGTGGCACATCGTTTTGGCTGCAGTGAAGCTGAGACGTAACTTGTTCACTCACAAGCCAGCTTGCTGTCAAAACTGGACAGGGCAATAGCAAAGGCTTGTACTGCACACATAGGATAATTATAATCCATTGTAAAAATGTCTTCTGCCACACGGCCAAATTGCATCACTATGTAGTCGGCTGAAAGAATAAAGAAACATAAAGATACATCAATATGGTTTCCGGCACCTTTCAGAATCTGTGGATAGTACTAAACCAAACTATAAAATTAGAAAAAAGAAATAATTTCTACCTCCTGGATTAGCTGAAATCTAAGCCGGAACAGTGTTCTTCCAAAAGCAATTAAATGCTGCCCAGTTGGGAAATATGCAGCCTTGGCAAAAATTAACAGTATGCACCCAGAACAGAAGTTTGACTAAAATTAAACAAGAATGGCTCGCCTATATATTACATGGCACCAACAAGGCTAACTCAGAGACTTAGTCTGTTTAAGGAGGAAATATTTGTAAAGATAAGTAACCAGAAGCTATTTAATATTTATAAATATTTTGATGTAATTACCAGTTGGGTACAAAGGGAGGAAATTTAAAATTAATATTGTTTTTACTGATTTTTAAAAATTATTTCTTTTTCTTTTCACAAGATCATGTGCATTTATTTTAGGAATAAATAGTGGTGCCATCAAAATAAATATAACTTTTAGAATTTTGTAGTGATTTTCAATTATTTCTTAAGATATTATGAGTCTAGTTTTAATAATTTTATCAATGAAATGATGATTTAGTTATTTCATCAATAAAATGATGAATTTTAAATTTCCTGACAATTTGTAAATTTTGTTTACCGATATTTTATTTTCCATGCACTACGTCCTTTCTCACTTTTCTTTTTTCTTTTATGTAGTCATTTATTTTGTTCCTTGAATGTTTTAAAATAAATTAAAAAATGTTCAGATAAAAGGAAAAGAAGAAGAAACGCGGCCCAGCTGTGTGGTATCCGGCACTTCCGCACGTGGCACGGATGTCCTTATAAATGACATCATTTATAAGCCAAGAAACAAGAAAAGGATCCAAAGATGCTGGTGGGATGAATAGAGAAAAAGCAGAAGACAGCTGCAGTGACTGGAAAAGACAGAGCAAGCTACCCTTTTTCCTCCCACCTCGGCTTCCAAATTGTTAAGCCGATGGTTCCCCCAGATAGCCGCCTCCCCACACGCCTTGGCGAAACACTGCTGAAAAGACAAAATTGAAGCCTGCAAACAAGCCCTTCGAGCAAAGTTAGGATGCAGTGAATGAACCAATGATGAAAAGAGGAGCTACCTCCTAAGTAGGCATTTCTGGGGCCTTTCATCAGATTGGTGATGCATCCTTTGGTACAAGTTAAAACGGTGAAGGCATACTGTGCCCCCATCATGAAATGATGGGGTCAGAATGACATCTGATAGCAACGGGCATTATTATGTGTTCGACTGAATTAAGCAGAACAACCAAATTTTAAAAATGAAACTATTTAAACCAGAAACTATGCCTCTATTATAAAGATCTCCACAATCATTATTATGCAATAGGATGGCATTCCACAGCTAAACTAGAAGCTGTTTGTGTGTAACCCTGAGAACTAGTTATCAGTGCCTCAGCTCTTCATATTTTATTTCACACTTCTTGCATCTGCTAGCTCAATCCAGGGTTCTCAAGTATAGATGCACTATAATTCAAGTCAGCCTGATTGAAGAACAGAGATAATGAGAATTATAAGCCAAAAACAGTTGGGACCTCTTATTAGAAAAGACTGTCCTAGATTACATCCTTGTCAAGAACTTCACCAACAATCAAAATGGAAGAATGACAACTATCTGTATTGTCCTCTTTGTATTTATGCTATCAGCATCTGAGAACAGGAAATTGCAGCAAGAGGAATACAACATGAATTTTGGTTTGAAGAAACCTAACACCTCTTTGGTATTTTTGTACAGAGGATCTAATTAGATTTCAGAAAAGCAATCTGTGTTTCCAACAAATTTAACTAGAGAAGCCATACTTACGATCATTGTCGTGAATAATTTGGAAGTTTTTCACTGAGGCCTGTGTTACACGACCGTGGAAATTTAAAACATAAGACTGAGTATCATCATTCCAGACTGGAGTTTTGTTGTGCAGCTCAATGACACTCTCTGTGTTTTTATTCTGCCATCTTGAGAGGAGTGTTTCATGTTCCTATCAAAACCAAGAATATAAGCTTGCGTTCAGCCAAAAGCTATCTTCTGCTCTTTGTTTATATACAAATTCCCCATTCCAGTGTTTAAAACCTTCCTAAAATGTAATCCCTGGACTTCCCAAATCAACTGCTTAGGTTGTCAGCAACCCAAGCCCTTTTCCAATTCCATCTGTCATTGGAGAGCATACTGAGATCAACTGAAACTAACACTAACACCATTACATTTTAGGCTTAAACAGTTAACTGGTATAAACTAGTTTGGAATCAGTTTTCAGTGAAGGGTGATAATGATATATTTTGATAAACAGATAAGCCACACAAACATGTACACAGAGAAGAAAGATTAAAACTTGCCAAGGAAGTCACAGGCATGCCAAGACACTTCCCAGATCCTGTTGTAGAAGTTCATATTTCTAGAGGGACTAGCTTTGGATTACATTTGGGATTTTCTACATAGCATAGCAAATGTATAAGCAAACTTGAAGGTGACCCATAGCAGTATTAAATCATCACACACATACATACACACACACTAAGCATCTCTATTGGTTTTAATGGGGGGCAGTGGCATCCACTATCTTGCCAATTTTGATGCCCTCCCCCTGTGGGTGCTGCTCACGAGGAATAAGAACTTAATTATATCCATCAAGCTGAGGCAAAAATATAGAATTGGAAGAACGTGATCAGCTTCAGTGACACAGTCCACAACAAATGTATAAATATATCAAAATATTTTTCCAGATTGCCAAGAGAGTATTTGTTTTACTCCAGTGACCCCATTTTACCCTTCTTATTAGAAGATATGAGAAGAACGAAACCTTAAATGTTTTACGGATCTGGGATAGCAATGTCTCAGATTTTAAGAAGTGGTATCTTTAATGTTACTGCTCTGTTCACGAAGCACCTTCATAGGTTCAGTTCAAAATGCAAGTAGCAGTGAACAGCTCCTTGTAGCAAGTAGTCACTCTGGTGACAGAAGAGAAGATCCCCATAATTATTGCATGACTCTTGGCAGCAGGGAGTCTTGTTCTATGCATAACCACAGCATACTTCAGAGTGCTTCAGATCAGATAGATGCATCCATATGTATGTGAAGACTCCTTGCGGCAGACAACCCTGAAGATAATCCATTCATTTACATTACCAGTGTAACTAGGAGAGGCCTCTCACTGCTCCTGGCACTTGGACTGAACATGCTAAGATATCCCTGGACAGACTTATGTCCTCAGGCTTTGCTTGGCTTACAAAGGAATGAGCACAGAAGCCCAAGGGGCAGGGGCAACAAGAGCCAGAGAAAAGGCAAATCTGGAAGAACAAACTTGTGTTTCAGATGGTTTTCCTGGTTCACATTTAAAACATGAAACCTTTTTTAAAAAAAGGCTGCACATATTGTGCTATGTGTCATTATCCATAGGAACTTCCCATTCTCAGCACTTTCGCCAGAAGGAGATTGATTGTCTGTGTACATGTAACCCCAGTACTGTCTGCAGAAGAGCCTGTATGAGCCTTGAGACCAAGCACAGGGCTCTGAACACAGTTTTTAGCAAACTAACTCCACCTGCTACTGGCAAGGACATGTTAAAAGTCCAATGAGTTCAAACCAATTAACTAAACTGTGGCCAATCATACTTGTGCTAGTGACTACACATCAATGTACACCATACCTGCAATAAGAGGAATGACTAATATCTTTCTTAGACCTCATGTACACTAATTGATCCCTGTACTGCTTATGCATGGGAATGGATTTCCAGAGGTCCCAGTTTCACCTAGCAACTTTTTTTCTGGTTTATGATAGCTGTTATTTTGCATCTTCTATCTCTTTTCTCTAGCTTGACAAATATTTTAGATAAAACAACAAGTGTTGTTAGTGGCAGTCAGAGTAGTAGTAAATGGCTTTCTCTATTTTTCCCACTGGAGTGAAGGAGAGTTATTATGACAAGTTAGCAAACCCCTGGCTTCAGAACAGCCAGTTCAGGAATCAAGAACAAATGGAAGCTAAAATGCCAACGACCTGCCAGTCTCATTCTAACATGACAACTGGGAATTAGCAACCCAGTCTACTTCACAGGGTTGCTATGGAGAAATCATTGGAGGAGGAAACACAATTTAGACTCCTTTAAGTTCCTGGAGGAATGGCAGAATGAAAATCTAACAAATAAGTAAATGAATCCAAGCAAAAGAGATGGGGTGAATTCTGTATTTTTTAAAACATTTTTTTCAGATTAAAAAAACAAACAAAAACTGTTCTCTCCTGTTGTCTCAATGCAAGGGACATAAACTAAATCAGGGGTAGTGTTATACAGTAGGGTTTTCCCCCCCATTCAATGCCTTATTTTCTATCATCTGAATTTCTCCACAGTGGCTGGGGAAAAGTTTGTAAATCAATTCTGGGCATACCTGCCTCTTCACCTACGAGGAAGGGAATCTGCAAAAACCTGATGTCTCCCAGGACTTGCACAGAATTGCATTCTTAAATTTGGTTGAGCTAGCTTATGGTGATTGGGATAACGGTGACTTACATTCCGTGGTCTGATGGAAACTCTCTCATGATCCATATTCATTCCTGGTATGATGACACTCATTTTACGAGGACCCTTAAATCCCAAAACGTTTGTTTCCTGTTTTAAGATAATAAGATAAATATTTAAAATATTATAGGTCTTTATCTTGGATACAGAAAGAAAGAAAGAAAGAAAGAAAGAAAGAAAGAAAGAAAGAAAGAAAGAAAGAAAGAAAGAAAAAGAAAGTTGTAAGGAGAAGGAAGAAAAGGAAATACGCTTAGCATAAATGTGCACAGAATTCAGCACCGGCTACACCTTAGTTGTGTGATTATTATTTTTTTCAACAGCAGCAGTATCAACATGATTTAGTACTTTAAACATTTATATAGTGCTTTGATCATTCTAAAGTATTTGATACACACCATGGTAATCTACTAAGGTAAGTCACTTTAAAGCATTGTTCCTCAGCCTGATGCCACATGAGAATTCTGGAAGTTGAAGTCCAAAACATCTGGGGAGCACCTAGTATTGTATCTATCTATCAGCTGAAGTTGAGAAATAGTGACTGCCTATATACTAATTCTATAGGAGAGAGATGGGCTTAGTTCTTAGCCATCTAATTTTGTATCTTGGAAGAGCACCCATACTGAAAAACATGTGACAAACAAGAGGGGAGAGCAGCAACGGAAGGATTCATGTTTCTTTCTTCATTCACTACCGAGTGGAGCAAAGGAATCTAGGCAGGGTATCTCTTATCCCATAATTCTCTCCTCTGTCAATTGGCAGTTGGTGTTCAGATTTTGCTTACTGCTTATCTGAAGCAGACTTGAATGTGTCAGGACTGCAAAATCTGTCTGCCTATTTTTGTTACCACACTCACTTCCACAGAAAATTAAAAGCACTGTAGCCAGTTGGTTAATTATGAGCTGAGCTCCATATAACAGTTTTATGAAACTGATCCGTATTTAAATGGCCAAGAGATCAACAACAGATGGTTTCTCCTTCCTAGCTGATGAGTGTATTTTTAATGATCTATTTAGAATTTCTCTACCACTGCAGTTTTCACAATGACCATTAGGTGCCGTTGCAGATGTATTAATGACCAACAGCAACAAGAAAATGAAAGCAAAACGAGGGCTTATTTTGCTTTTACTTAAATAATGTTATAAAAGGTCTCTACATCTAGGATTTAATGACTAATTCAACCCTCAGTGGATATGGGTCAGTTTCAATAGAACAATTGGTAAAGATGCAATGAATTTTGGAAACTTTCTATGTATATATGAATAAAAAAAGATTTTATTAAAATGCATAATGCAGTTTCCCCTCCCCTCCCCCCCTCC